TGCCTTATATGTAAGTTCAAGTTAAATAAAAAGGATATTAGACCTTCTCAAGCTTTGTCATAAAAGTTCAAATTTAGCGATAACTCTCTAACATTTTTTGGTACGCTCTGCAGGACTTGACTTCAGCTTCCAGATAAATAGCAACCTTACAAATATTGTTGCATAAGTTTAAATCGATTGTAACTTTAATCATTTTCTATGATTTCTTCCCTTTTCCAGGTAACTTTTCAGCTCCATTTTCAATAATTCTTTTGGTTTTCCGCAAAATATTCTTCTATAACATTATCTACTCCTACTTATTTTGTCTTGGAAAGGTTTGTCAACAAAATGATGCTGAAGTAATTTGAAAAAGTAATTGCGAAAAGACGCAACAACTGGACTCAAACAGATAAGAGAGAACTTTCGGTTTTTAAGCTTTTACGAATCCTTTTTCAGTAAATGATTTAATGTTATCCTACTAAGGAAACATAGTCTGATGATTCATTTCTCTTGTTCGATGATTAAAGCCCGTTTAAGACTTGATTTTTCTTTCGCTCTCGATTATTGTCTTTTACAAAAATAATAAGCACAGCTTGTTTTGACCTCTAATCATAATAGCATTAAGAAATGCTCCACCCATTTGGAAGAGAGTAAATCGACACCGTTTCTGTTAATTTTCAGCTAAAATCTGATACGAGTCATAAACACCGGAACGAGAAAAACATATTTATTTCAAGTGATTTAATGCTCTTCGCTATGCAGAGTGAAGCTCTTCGTTATTTCTATTCGCCCACCAACGGCCGAGTGATAGAGCCGCTGAATACTGATAGTTCGGTCCAGGGTTAGAAATCCGGCGAGCGGGCTGACTGCATGGGCGTTTTCGTAGTGCCGGTTTCCCTTGGAAATGACATGAAGACATCCTTTTTCTTAGCCATATAGCTGTAGTGTGCTTTGCTATAATCAAATAAACCAAACCAAATTAAACCGTTATTTCTTTATTAGTGGTATGAGAATTTGAATCATCAGCATTGTCAACTCATCAGTTTCTACCTCGCTTGGTTGCCAATTTCTAGGTCCGTTGTTAAGATTAAAATTTCCACTTCATTGTTTCTTAAACCATCTTTAACACTGTCTTTGATAAGTACTACTTGTGTATATTGAAAATCAATCCTCAGATCGACTTTCCGTGCTGACTTACCTCATAAACATCAATGAAAAATATACTACTAATCATTTAATAACATTTATTTTTGAATAAAAATAACGATCGTTAATTCATTGAAGTAACGATAAAACATTGTCATTCAACATGGTGGGTAACAGATTCAATACGATCTCATTATATATCACATGTCATCGTTTTTTTTCCTATCCATATTAAAAAGTCTCTGAGGGGATAATGCAAGCCAATTACAATTAAAATATCTGGTGTTGCAATCACCAGTCATTCATATTCGTGTATTTCACTGCAAAATAAATGTCTTGTGTGAATCATTTTATACGTGCAAAATAAAACATTGAGAAGATTTCCTCTAATAATATAAATTCGTTCATCGCCTTTTGTTGCTTAATGAGTAGCTTAGTGAGTTTATTCCTTAATGTGTTGTTTTTGTTGCTTAAAGAGTTTTATAAATTATTTACTATAAAATATGCTTCACGTATACTTCAATATTTATCAATACTTACAAAATTGTAAATAAAGAAGTAAAGCATACAATAATTATCTACTTATGAAGGTTAATTCTCTGAAAGATTTCTAAATTTTAATGAACTAACTATGGTTGCATATTTTACGTTTTTTATCGAAAATAAATTGTCTTGCATCATATGGTGAGCTATTAAGTAAATTGTAAGATAAAGACTGTTTGGGCAACGCGATTATATGACGTTGTCGCGTCTTATGTCCATGTCCAACCATGTTTTTTCATAATAGGTAAAAACATATGCTCTAGCAGTAATTGCTGACGTTTACCAAAATACAAAATCATCGATTAAAGGAAAAATTCCCAGTTATTCTTCCAATTACATTCGTATATAATAAGGTACTGACGCAGAAAGTGAATCCTGGTCTTTTTTTGTCTGCTATGCATCATTATGTTACAGTCCATTCTCTTTTGATGTGGGTTTTGAAATTCATGAACCATTTATTTCTTTAATTCATGAAAACAGTATCGGATGGATAGATCACATTGCGGATGAAATATACGACTATTAAAAAATAAGTAAATAAAAGTGTGAAATAACTTCATCATTCTCATATTTGTAGCAGAAAATTATAACTGCACAAAATATAAAGAAAAGAGTTTGTAATTTAAATGCAGCATTTTTGAGAAAATCTTTGATATATGTTTGCTATTTGACACATTATAATAATAGCATTATTTTATAACATAAAATAAATATGACATTATAACATTATATGAAAGCGAATAACTCTCTCACTTTGTACCAAGTGTACCCTCACTTCTATCTTGAAGCATTTTCTTCTAATATAATATATACTCAATCCGAAGTCGGATTGATCAAGATCTGGCAGAAAATTTTATGTGTAACGAATGGGAAAGCCATCCTTTAACACGGAATTTTGGGTCCATGACTCTTGAAGTGTTAGACTAGTCTGGTCTGGTCTGCACAGTTATTGCCGAAATATCGCGTAAAGCGCAATTTGTCCGGCTCATGAAGATTAAGCCCAGTGGGCACTTGACATTAATACTTCCTGACAGTTTGATAATGGTCTGAGGTGGTAAAAAGGGGAGGAGCCTAATGCATGGCAGGCGTAGAGAGAGGTCAGTCAAGGCAAGTAGGCGTGACTACCAGTTATAGCAGGAACGCAGAGTCCGGAGGGTGGTGCTATCTCCTGAGGCACGAGCGCACTAGAAATTAAGCAAATATCAAGTTCATCATGCAGCTAAAGTAGGAGAAAAGTTACAAGTCCATTTTTATCATGTGTTCAACCATTCCCAGGACAAGTAAAACTTTATCCTGCGGCGATTCTATCTTCTTACATTTTTGCACAAATTCAAGGAACTTGACTGCAATCATCTGTAGGTTTTCATCCATCGCAAAATCCGATTTGGCTGGAGTGATAGCATCTGGGTGGGATTCTGATGGCATACAACTTTCTTTCTGGGTTGGTTTTTCAGATAGCGGAGACAAATTCTCAGACTGCGGCTTCCGCGTTGAATTCCTTTTCTTCTTGTCAGAGACAACACGAACTTTTGGTCGAAATTCGCATAACTTCGAAGTAGCAATATGCTCCTTTTTACAATTCGCGCAATTAGGCTTCAGTTCTTTGGCTAATTTGCAGGTGTAGGTCAGGTGCCCCTGCCCACACTTGAGGCATCTTGCCGAGTTGTTACAGAAGAGCTGGCCGTGTCCGTAACGCTGACATCTAAAGCAAATCATGTGGCTTAGATTCCATCTGTATCTTCTAAACTTGACCCTAAGGTCTAGCAGCGTTTTCTTTTTGTAGATGGTTCTGCTCACATCATTCCTCTTGAATGATACAAAGAAGAGCGGCAACTTCACTCCTTTTCCATCAATTTTCTTGGTAAACTGCGTCACGTTTAACACAGGGAATCCATCTTTGACCAGCTCAGCCTTGATCTCCTTCACAGACGAGTTGTCAGGCAGGCCACGAATAACCACTTTAAGTGGTGTTTCTTTCTTTGGACGAAAGGTGCTAAATTGCACTTCATCTTTCATTAGCACAGTTGGAAATCAGAGTGATTTTATCGTTAGTCAAAACACCAACGTAATCCTTGATAGCATGCTTGGTGAATAGTCCTCTTAAATCACTCCATTTCACATCCGGTCTTGGGCAGAAAATCGGAGGAAGTCGTTCATTTTTAGGATCAGCCTTAGCCTCAGAAACGAGCGTAAGATCATTAACAGCTTTGTCCGAATTGTCAGCACAGTTTCCAAAGTATTCGTCGTTACTATTTTGGAAACCTCGGTAGCAGCGGGAGTCTTCTTCGTAGCGGATTTCGACGGTTCCTGGGCAGGAGCTGCGAAATTCTTTGCAGTCTTGGTTGGCGTTTGCCATTCATCGTCTGTAGATTTATCGGATATGAGAAACTGCTTTCTCTTCCTTTCAGCTTGTATTCGTTGATATTCAATCACCATTGGATTCTTTTTAGAAAATGCTTTAAGGAAATCTTTATCGCAGAATTGTTCTAACGAATAGCATTTATTATCCATAAGGGCAAGGAAAATCTTCTCCGCTTTCCTTAGCGCTGGCTTCATAGGCTTTTCGTTTCTCAGTTGCTCTTGCAAAAAATCTACATTTTTAAGAGTAGATTTTTTGCAAGAGCTAAGATTTTTAATCTACATTTTTCGTATATCTCTTTATTTGCAGGATCATCCGAATCATGTCCGAACTTTTTTAGAACAGCATACGACTGGTCCACAAGGACCGAACGATGTTCATTAGGCATAGCGAATATGCACGAGGCAAGGGATGTACGTCGAAAATACTCGCGTGGTTAAAACCAGAGAAGCATCAGAGACAGACAACCTTCACGCATGAAAGCCACCCCTCGAATGATAATGATCATGTGTTAGACTAACATACATAGGTCACTAAATATACAATGGATCATCGCACGAAACTGTACATCTATCTTCTCGCCCACATGGTTAGTTGAGACTGGTTAAGGTCGCAAAATGAAATTTGTTTGGAGATCATTCTGAACTCCTTAAAATGAATATGATTCAAAACTGTTAGTTTATAAGATGACACGATTCTTTAATTGTTTATTACAGCTTGTACCTTTACAATAAGGATTATTGTATAACTCCTAGAAAGGGATTCTAGATTTCCCTAAATTCTATATCAAGTAGCTTATGTTTCCAATTAATAGAAACCGAAATTATTTGCTGTACATAATTCAGAGCCATAGTGTCGATATATGTATTTTCTGTGCTGTACTTTTCGCAGTTTTTCTTATACTTTCTGTACATATTTCTTTACATTATTAAAAAGACCATATTTAAATTTCATTTTATTGTATATTTTCCAGAGTTTCCTGAGTATTGGTTACGTTCGGGGCAAAAGACCTTGAATGCTGCTCTGCGTTTGCGGAAGATCGAAAACAAAGCCAAAAATGTTATAATGTTCCTTGGAGATGGCATGGGAATCACGACCATAACAGCTATGAGGATTTACAAAGGCCAAAAGCATAACAGAACTGGGGAAGATGAACTTCTGGTCTTTGATGAATTTCCTTTTGTATCCCTGTCAAAAGTAAGCAGTACGCAACTTTCTCTCTCGTACCATAATAAACTTAATATAGTTCACAAACTTCTTAAGCTATATTAGTTTCATACAAGGATGGTATGTTATTTATGTAGCCAGAAGTATAAAAATGGTATAAGTAAAAATAATGAACTAAGCGATAAAAACACAAAGTCTGATTTAATCTACTTACAATTTGTACATAACATTGCACAATCAGTACTCACAAGAAGTAAAAACTGGCAATCAAAGGAAAGCTGTTTCAGACCATCTCTCGCTCTTTTCTGGATATTGGATGGAGTATCATCAAAATACCATTCTCGAAATAGTTCTTATATTTTGGGATATAGAAGACTATCAGGCAGAGGTAATACAGAAAATGTAACGAATTGTAAATGTACTTTTGTTTGGGCTGAAATCTTTCAGTCTTCTGTTCATCGAATTCTTATGGATGTGGGAATCCACAGCAGACACCTCTTTCTTTTACCTTTGTTAACTTTGCATATTGACTCCTACGACCATAGTGAGCTTATGTATATCGTGACTGGACCATGCAACAATGGAACAAATAGTTGATTGGTCATGTACCGTTTCATGTAAATAGGCCGGTGGTGGACGTACTTCTGGACCTTCTCCTCATGGCTGTCCCTCGGACCGGTGTTTGTTGTAAGATACACCACGACATTTGTGGATTATATGAAAATTATTGTTGACTGGTAATACTTTTTCATGTCTTGTTAATTGGCCTTTTCATGTAAGGATCACAAAGCGAGAATTATGTTACAGTGGCTTGAGGAACATGCTGATGAATATCAGTTGATGCACTGACTCAGATCTTATCAATCACTTTCTCATTATCTATGGGAACTGCATGACTTCTGCTTGCAAATCTGATCTAACCTTTCTGCGAATGCTTATCAAAACTTGTGAAATCTATTCAGATGGGCTACAGCTCTTTTGTGTGCCAGCAGTGGAAGAATGCGGTGTTAGGGGTTGCATTATAAAGTTTTGACTCATCACTGGGGTTTTACAGAGATATAATCTTCATGTTAGAGGTTTATAATGAAATCTTTTTTTCCGCCTCTTAAAGAGTAGACAATAGTGCTGTCTTTCGTCTTACAAAATCAGTCGCGTCTTCAATTTGTCGCTCTGTGATAACTAGAATAAATTTCTTTATGTGATTTATTTAAGAATGAACTAGATGCAGAAATATTTAAAAGTTGCAACCTTTTTTTCATTTTATTACACATTATTGCGGTGATTAAAATTTAAGTATACAATAAATTTTATTTAAAAATTTATTGATGATTATTTTAATTCAAGAATTTGTATTTAGTGTTAAAAACTCGTAAGTTTTTTACACTAGCGTTTGTAATGACTCTTGAGTTTTTAAATTTTAGTCATTAATTCTATTATTTATTTATTAAATATAACATTCGATTTAAAAGTTTAAAATGTATGCCGACGAATACTTTTTTTTTTTTTTTTTTTTTTTTTTTGTAGTATGAGCTTTAAGCTGTTATTAAAATTAAAGTCTCTTAAACAAAAAGCTTTTTTTACGCTTTGGCAGCTGAAGCTGATGGTTCGGTAAAACGATCAAAACTAGTCATGTGAAAATTTGCAAATATAACGTTTGTTGCTTGACTTCTAAATTAATATTTGTTTGGCGTGTTATTTTAACCTAAACAAAAGATCGTTTAAATGTATCTCTGGAACTCACGACTTACATTAATCTAAATGCAAACGAATGTATCTAATTTACAGATGATAAAAAAAAATTCATTTTTTCTTTATACATGGAAATCAATCATATGCATTATATAAAATCCCTGACTTATTTACTCAATGTTTTTAAATGACAAATGTTATCTAACGTTGAATATTTCATAGCGATTTCTACAAAAATGTCTTAAACATGACATTTCAATGTATTCTTTGTGTATTATATTTCAGACTTACGGAGTTGACAGGCAGACATCAGACTCTGCTAATACGGCTACAGCGTATTTGTGTGGAGTAAAAGCCAATTATGGCACAATAGGTGTAGACGGCCGGGTGCAATACCAGAATTGCTCATCATCTTTAGATAAAACTAGTCACGTTTCATCCATTCTACAGTGGGCTCAAGAAGAAGGTAAGTTTTTTTCATGAGACTCAAATACACTGTAAAAACATTTTATTTTTAGGGCGATTTTGCAATCGATATACTATCTAGTTGATATGCTTTTGCAAACATCAATAATATAGATGAAGGCAGATTGTTAAATTCTGCTAGGAAAATTGAAAAATGTTAACCTTAATATTCTTTTACTTTAATATACAAATTCGACAAGGCAAATATGTACCTTGAATACAGAAGTGCGGGAACCAGATGGAGCCATGATTGTTAAGCAGTAAATTTCTGATGTGCGAAAGAGAGCTATTGATATCAGCTTCAGCTGTCACCATTGAGGATGTTTGTGGTAAAGTATGGGGTCTCATCGGACCTGATCATCGAACCCTCATCATCTGATATCGTAAGGCAGTGGTGCACAAACTAGGGGTCGCCAAATTTTTATGAAATGCATTATGCCTGCATGCTGCATACCATACAGTGTACATATAAAGAGTGAAGCGACGTCACTCATTGATTAATTGCAATTTCATGCTGTCCGCTCTTTCTTTGAACCTTAATGCGTAATGTATGTAAAGTGTGAAACGCAAGTTTTTCACTCCGGTAGATAGAGCCCTCTTCGCGGTAATTCGCCAGTTTTACTAAAAAGCGCCTATTTGACTAGACGTTAACCGCAGGTGAAAGGGAAAAATATTCGCTTCCGTGATTAACCAATCAGATGGCGAGGTACGCGGTGTATCTGATAGTCAGAGTAGAAGCCGTGAAGTGTTCGCATGAAGTTGTAGCATGTAGCAGTTGGCCTGCAATTGTTTTAGTTTATCCTCGAGTTTTATCATGTGACGTTGTGTAATTAGGATTTTTTTATATTTTTATCGGGCTCTGCTACTCTTTGTTATTAGGTATGTACTATCATTAGAGAAAAATCTCTCTTAATTGAATTTCTCGAAAAAAATGATAAAATTTTATATATTATTTGTTTTAGTTCAAATAATTTAATCCCTATCTTCATAATAGATAAATGGGTAATACGTACACCAGGTACATCTTCAGCTAACAAACGAACAAATACTGATGAGGAGTTCGCAAAATACTGAACTAAAGTGCCCAATCTAAAAAAATAAGAAAATACAATGAGGAATTTATTAAGTATGGTTTTACATTTTTTGTTGTTGATGATGAAGAACGTCCGATATGCGTCATTTGCAATGAAAAATTAGCAAATGAGAGCATGAAACCAGCTAAATTAAAAAGGCACCTGGAAACTAAACATAAAGAACTTTAAAATAAACATGATGCCGATTTTTTCAAAAGACGAGCTGAAAATCTGAAAATTCAAAGTGCACATTTAGAGAAAGTACAATACATCAGAAAGCATTACGAGCTTCTTTAGAAGTTTCTTATTAATAGGAAAAAACAATGAAATCCCATACAATTGGAGAATCCCTTATCCTTCCTGCAGCAACTAAGATGACATCAATTATGCATGGTGATAAATATGGAAATGAAACTAAAAACAATACCATTATCAAGAGATACAGTGTCTCGGCAGATTTTTCAAAATGTCACGAAATATCGAGTCAGAAGTCATAAAACGCATACAAAATTTCATCTGTATTTGCTTTACAACTGGACAAGACTACCGATATTACTAAAATGTCACAACTAATTATTTACGTTAGGTTTATTTTTAATGAAGATATAACAGAAACGTTTTTATGTTGCAAAAGTTTGGAAGGAAAAACAACTGGAGAAAAAATATTTCGAAGTAATAAATGAATATTTTGAAACAAAGTCCCTTACCTGGGCAAACTGTGTTGCGGTTTGTACTGATGGTGCTGCAGCATTAAACAGGTTTCGAATTCAGAAGCTCAGGGCTTAATTCAGAAGGTGGCGCCTCATATGGTATTTAATCACTGTATGATTCATCGATAAGCTCTTGTTGCAAAAAATATGGATGAAGAGTTGCACAACATATTACAAGACGCTGTTAGTTCAATTAACTACATTAATGCAACAGCCGTCTCTTTTCAATACTTTGCAATCAGATGGGCTCAACGTATGAGAGATTACTGTTACATACCGAAATCAGATGGCTTTCACGTGGGAAAATACTGCGACGGATATTTGATTTGAGAAATTAAGTGTACCTATTTTTAATCGAAAAGAAACATAGATTGGCAAGTTATATCAATGAAGTTTGGCTAGGGAAGCTGAGTTATTTAGTTGATATTTTCGAAAAACTTAACGACTTAAATTTGAGCTTTCAGGATGAGAATTCAACTATCATAACTTCAGCCAGTAAAATTCAAGCTTTTAAGAATAGCTTAGTCTCTGGCAACTGAACGAATAAAACAACACCGACATGTTCCCTTGCTTTAAACGATTTATCGAGGAAAAGAATATAGATATATTTACATTTAAAAACATCATTTCCAATCACATTGAAAAGTTATAGGAAAATTTTTCGAGAAGATTCGAGGATTTTCCTGAAAACGATCTTCGTTGGATTCGTGATCCATTTTCCTTTGACATATACAGTTCAACTTTTCAAATTAGTGAGAAAGAGCAATTGATAGATCAAATTAGTGATTATACTCTTCGAAATCAATTTAAGACTCAGCCTTGCCACAAATTTTGGCCATCCGTGGAAAAACAATATCCCATTTTATGCAAGAATGCCATCCGAGTGTTAATACAATTTGCATCAACGTATTTATGTGAAATTGGATTTAGCAAACTAGTTTCAATAAAAACTAAATACCGTTTGCGTTTAAACCCTGAAGAGATATGCGAATTGCAATTAGCAACATACATCCAAACATCGATGAGATAATTAGAAACTTGCAGCCACATACATCTCATTAAAGGGCAATTTACTGATTTTTGTGTTATACAAAAAGTATTTTCTTAAAATTATAAATAAAAAGTAATATGAATCAGATATGATGATTTTTTTATATTTTATGTTATTGAAACGAAAGAAATGCGCGAAATATACGTCGTATTTGTGAACATTTATCTCTAGGGGTCGCCAAAAATTTTCTCTCTACAAAAGGGGTCGCAGTCGAAAAAAGTTTGCGCATCACTGTCGTAAGGGATGAACTTTGGCTGTTTAACGACCCTAGCAAATGATGCTATTTCCTCCTTGAGTCAGCTTTGGGTCAGACTTGAAAAGGTTCCGAGGTGTACAAGTTCAGAAAAATGTTAACTCGACAAACATTAAAAGACTGATCTGATCGATACTGAAGAAAACAAGCTGTTGAGTCTACTACAGGAATTAAGTGATATTTTCGACTTAATCGTAATTTAATTAAATCCCGATGCAATGCGGTAGATTTTGATGATAAAGGCAAAGACAAGGCAGCCTTTGTGACGCCTGATGGTCTCTATGAATTTAAATTCATGCCATTCAGCTTATGCAATGCCCCAGCGATATTCGAATGGAGGATGGACACCATTTGAAAGCCATAAGAGTCCTCAAGTGGAATATTTTTCTTTGCTATCTAGACGACATAATTGTGTATGCACATATCAAAGAGCAGGGCTGACACTTAATTCCAAGAAATGTTCATTCGGGAAACAAAGATAACGATACTGGGACACTTAGTCGATCCTATGCATCCAGATGTCTTACTGCAACTGAAAAAGAATGCATTGCCGTTGTCTGTAAATTCAGGCCTTATCTCTATGAAAAACCCTTAACGGTAGTCACGGGCTTAATCTTCTCAATGTTTAACGCTAATTTCTATTCCCCCTTCGCCTTTTTCGGCTCGACCAATCAAAATCGTATGGCTGTGACTCGTATGGGAGGGTTTCTCCCCTACCTAATACGCATTCCAATAGCGCTCATGCTTCTCTCCTACTTCTTCTATTCTCCTCAACCGCAGTCTACATTAGCTGACCTCCCTCCCTTTACGATGGATGAGTAGCTCCATCGCTGATGGTTACGCTGGCTTTGCAAGTACTAATTCATCGAATTCCGAATTGAATTTATCTACACAGCAACTTTCGCAGAAACGAGGACTCATCTCAATTTCAATTTCAATATCTCATCTTCAATTTCATCGCCAGACCGTCTCCTAATCACTGAACTTTGTTCACTACATCATTATGCCTAAATTGCTACCTTCTACTTCATGAATTTTTTACCGTACTTTATGCTATGCTCATCAAATGCTATGTGCAACCTTGACATGTTACATACAGGATAGACTATTCACCCAGGTGCCTGGATGTGCGACTTCGTCGCTTGTTGAGGTAGTCACGGATCACTACGCTTTGTGTTTGCTAACAAATGTTAAGGATCCATCTGAAAACTTGCACGGAGGTGGGCTCTCAGGCTGCAGGAACACGACAGTAGCATCGTCTACTACTCCGCTGCGGATTCACTACCAATGAAGCCCTTGTCGAACCAATAATTGACAGTAATGACGAAACCCCTTTCCTCGCAACCGTGGCATATTGTGGAAAAGAACAGCAAAAGGATAAATAATTGAAGTCTGTCATCAGAACTCTTAAGAGAGTTGACGCGCACCAAAACTATCATATAAGAAATTGTGTATTGTACAAAAGAAACTGTGAATCTATTGGGCAGCTTTGGGTCTTGCTAGTGCAAAAACAGCTCTGTAGAGATGTTCTGAGAAGTCTTCATGATGCTCCAACCGCCGGTCATCCCAGTTTTGCCAAAAGGTATGACCGAATAAGGAGGAAGTACTATTGGCCAGGGGCCCACCAGCGGCCGAGTGGTAAAGTCGCTGAACACTGGTAGTTCGGTCCGAAGTTCGAATCCCCGAATGGGCTGGCTGCATAGGCGTTTTCGTGGTTTTCCCCATGTGTAACATGCATACCGAGTCAGTTTCCCTTAGAAAGTCCTCCACGAAGGCATCCCCCCCCTTAGACAGATAGCCCTAGTGTGCTTTGCCATAATTAAGTAAACCAAACCTATTGGCCAGGGCTATATATGGGAGTACATAACGCTATGTATCACACTGTCGAAAATGCCAAAGATGGAAAGCACGACTGCAAATTCCATCAGAGCAGCTTCATTCGGTAAACCGCCTGATATACCGTTGTAAGATCTGACTCTCTTAGCTATCATAAAGTGAAATGGATCTTACAAAGGAAACCTGGCGACTTCTCGCGCAGGCGTGAATAATACCAGCACAGAAGAAGGATAAAATAAACCCTTTATTATTCGTCAAACTCCAAGTGCACCTACTTCGTGCTTACAATAACACCGACAACTTGCGGTGGAACTATATTTCATAATTTTTGATAAATAATTTCATGATAATTCAAAGATAAAGATGTAGTGCTAGACTAAGAATTTAATTTAAGGCTCACCAGGCTGATTCAACAACTTACCCGGCGATATACTTATTAAATAGCCAAAAGAGCGTATCAGCAACTCAGCGTAACAGCAAGGACAAAATAGTAACGTGTGCTGGCTAGCGAAATCACGCTCTGAATAAACTACTCATTTCGTCTGATTTTATACTCACTTCAATTGACTTTAAATTTGCATCCTTGCGAGGGAAAATGACAGGTTCAGGAAAGGGACCAAACATTAAAAAAAATGTACTATAATTGTACTAAAAATGCAAACAAAGGAAAACCCTGCACTGTTTGCAAAAATTGCAATAGATCTACTTGGACGCTTTCCTGTTACTCGTAATAGAAACCGGTGGATTATTGTTTGCACTGATTACCTTACCAGACTTACAGTCGCAAAGGTAGTACCAACTGCTGAGGCACCAAAATCGCCATATTTATAGTTGAAGAAATCGTACTGAAGCACGGTACCCCCAAAGAAATGCACAAGCTACAGACAGTCGCCAACACGACAAGTGGCATCAACCTGACAGCTAAAATATCGGTGACTTAGTTTGGGTCTTCACTCCAGTAAGAAAAGCTTTTAAGACACTACTTTGGACCGTATCGAATAACACGACAACTATCTGACGTGATGTATGAAGTAGACATTATGGAACAAAAAAGGAGACGACCGAGTTCAAAAGACGTCGTTCATTTTTAGGGTTGAAACCGTAGCTTGATCCAAAAGGAAAATTAGAAGATGGAAGACGCCCAATATTTCCAGAAGATTTATTGCAAAAAGCCAGCCCAGATCGCAGCAGGACGCTGCTTTTTCCTTAAAACAAGGAAACATAACGAAAATTGTTCCTTTCGGCCAAGCACATCGTCGTACACTGAGTAAGCTGTCAGATTCGGAAACAGTAGATCCCGAGTTTGAAGCCTATCAAAGGCAAAACGCCTAAAAGTTGAATTTGTTTAAATTTCCTTTATGTTCCATTTATTAGAGAATGTTCTCCATTTTCTAGAACCTTCCAAGTCTGAAACGTTACAGCTTGTTTATCAAGGGTATAAAAGCTGGTACTTACTCAGTTCGAATAATAGTCTTGAGTTGAGATTTGAGTAATTTCCTCTTCATTTGTCTGAGTGCGATCATTTCATCTACGCGACAATACGTTAAGAATAATTATTAAACAGTGAAATAGAATCACTTTGTCTCAAAACTGTGGGAATCATTTAAATGCGCTGTTAATCAAAGCAATTAGAAATCATTGGCTTAGATAAAGATTTGAAAGAAGAAGCCAGAACTTCGTAAGCTTGCTAAGAATGAATGACTTCATATGAAAACGACAGGGTGCGAAACGAATTGTAACTTCATATAATTGATACATCTTTCAAAAAAAATTTTGACGCTTCTTTTCCCTATTTTTGTAGGAAAATGGACAGGTGTGGTGACGACTACTCGCGTGACACATGCTACTCCGGCTGGGACATACGCACACACTGCTTCTCGAGATTGGGAATCGGCTACACCAGACCCTCAATGCAAGGATATCGCTGATCAGCTAGTAAATGAACTTCCTGGGAAGGATATAAGAGTAAGTTGGTATTAGTGATTTATTTTTCATCGAGTAATAATGGAAGATCGTTTAGGAAAGCAAAAACTTTTCCTAAACGATAATTTAGGAAACCTAAATTCTAAAAGTCGTTTAGGAAAAGAAAAGCTGAATATGCATAAAGTATTTAAGTGCATGCAGGGCTTAATTTCTAAAATTAAAATATGCTGCAACCCTATGGAAGGTCGTCAGGAAAAACTAAATAAATAACATAATAAATAGTTAAAACTGATAAAATATAAATAGGTAAATAAAATTTAATCAATTGAATTAAATTAGTGTCAAACAGTTAAATAATCACATATCGGATCTCGTCTTTTTTGGAACTTTGGCTATAATTGCAATTTCACTCAAAAATTAAAATGGGATCCGTTGAATTTAAACCTCGGGTATATAATGTACTCTTTCAAAGGCTGGTAAAACAAAAATCACTCTTTTGCAAGCACAATGTAAGGCGTTTGAAGCGTAACTAATGAGAGTGAAGAGAAAGCTAGAAATAGTACAGAAATGCAAACATTTTAAAGGAGAAATCCAAGCGGGTGTTTTTCCTCAAGGGAAATCGGTAGTTTTAGACATGTTTGTGTTTCAACAAAAGTTAGATTTCAGAATTCAGGCTCATGAACGGAAGTATCAATTTCTGAATCTTACATATTAGTGACATAACATGTCATGAGATCAAAAGAATTTTCTGCTGAAATTCAGTTTCTTAAAAGAGAATCTTATATAAGGTCCCGGTGCATTCCTGCTAGAATTATGACTCATGTCAAAGATTGAGAAGTACCAGAGCCCGATTCCGCTGAACTACAGCACCGTTTAAGCAGAGTGTAGAGAATATTCGAAAAAGGTTGACTGCAGGTTATTATTTCCTTAAATTGTGATCGCAGATATATATTTTCAATAAAAATTTACGAAAATTTTGTAATAAACTATTTGAAAGCTGTCTCAATATGCAGGTAAGAGGATTTTGTAAAAATAAAATATTGCTAATTTTCTCGTAGCGACTGTTTAGCTAATATGCCGTATGTGAAACTAACCAGAGTTCCTGAACTCATAAATAAGCATCAATACTGAACATCACCTCTCTAAGACGACCACCTCATCAGAAGGTCAAAATAATCTGGATTTATCGGGTAATTTTCTTAAACAGGTCTCACTGTACCGTATTTCGGAAGAGTCTCGATAGAGAGAAAATTAAACTGATAAATTATTCCTCGTGCATTCATAAATTAAATATGAAAAAAAATCAGTATTTTGATGTCAAAAATAGTTATGAATGTATTCCAGAACGAATTAAATGGCTTAAATTATTTTCCTAAACGTATTACTAACGCAGATATAGAAATGCAAGAATAAGTGTTAGGATTCCCTTCGCGCCTTTTCGAGTGAATTAGTTTCCTTGCAGTTCCTAAAGCTAAACAATTGTCGGTTACTAATACTAAAGTAACCGACTAATACTAAAGTAACCGACAATTGTTACTCAGATAAATGAGACGGCTCGTTTGAAATTGACAGACAAGAAGTTTCCTTTTAGGCGTAAACATCTTATTTCAATTATTTGCAACGAAACCGCTCCATTGCAAACTCATTTCTTTCAAAAAATTTTTAAAACTACTGTTCTAACCACAGTCTCACGATACACCGAGGCGCTGCTACTCTTTTTCAAACAAAGTATTAATGAGGTAATAATACCATAAGTTACCATAAGTGGCGCAACAACAATAGCAATAGAAATAGTACATCACAGAGTTCGTTTCTTCCTGCTCACCTGAGCTAACAGATAACCTCTGACATTTAGACTGCGCATGCTTAAGGGCAGGATTGGAGAGCGTGAATTCTTTATATCAATTAAACATTTCATCTATCTTTCAGGTGTGTTCACGCATGGAAGTTGTATTATCATTTAGCCGCAATGTCCACATCATATTTATATATTAAAATAACTCCTCCCAAGGAAATTGCCCCACTACAACATACATCTTTCAACAAAGGTCATGCCCCCAGCCCAAGTTATAAATTTCCTTCCGTCAGCGAGACAATCCGGCCGATATGGATCGCAGTGGATCTGCTGTCTCGTTGATGGTGTCAAGAATGTTAAGTTACTAATATATGACAAAGCTGTATTGGTAACAGAATACATTTTTGGCTTTCTCGAAGACAGACATAATTTGATTGTGTAAAACGTATGTTAGAACCTAAGTGCTCCTTAGTTTACAATAAATTTATTATTTGTAATATTTGTAATTATTATGTAATTGCTTATCTTTTGTGGGATACAGATTCAACCGAACCATGAAAAAAGTACAGGCTTCATAAAATTTGATGAACGGGGGTATTATATAAAATGTCAGAGTTCTGTCATTAAGTCATTACGTTTTCCATTAAATGCCTTGGAAGACCTTGTGCATATGATTTAGTACTCTAATTGTTCGAGATTGTAGCCTTAGCCCTAGTTTCACGTAGCTTGGGGAATTACGGGTATAATTTTGATGAAGCATATGTATATCCCATCTTTCTTCGGGGAGACATATGTAAGTCATGTCTTCTGGCACATTTGAAACATCTTGGGCTATTGTGATTGCTCTGCAGCAAGAACTTATTTACGAAGATTTTCTTACCCGCTTCATTCCTCGATACCTAGAGGAAGTACACTAGAAGTTCATAAATGTAGTTGTTCATTTTCGACTTGAGTAACCTCACGTTTTCAATCTAGATACCAAGGTTCCTTATTAATTCTTGTAATTCTTTCTCTGTGAAATAAGCATCTAAAAAGCAAAGAATAAAATTGTTTGGATTTTCTTTCCTGGGCTGGAAGGTATTTTAATGAATATTCTCATTTAATATACAGTACATAGCCATTGCTATAGATGAAGTAGTTTTGAAAAGGATCTTGATGTTGCCCCGAATGGAAAATCTTTAATCCTTAGAGGGTTATGGATGGGAAATTCCGTATCATAGGATGGCTTTCTCATCTGTTATACATAAAGATTTTTGGTGGATCGTGATAAATACGATTTCGGTTTGGATGTATAGTGAAAGAAAAGTAGTCCATGCACAAAGCGTCATTTTCTTCATGACGTTATACGGAACTTTGAAATTTTACGGCCAAACCGCAATGCTCGGAGGGTTAAATTCTTTGATATTTTATTTACTGAACATAAATAAACATCAATACTGAACATCACCTCTCTAAGGCGATCACCAGTATTGTTGTTCCAATAAGCTTATTTATGCTTGCAGGTCCCGAAACTTACTTTTCTGCGAGATTGCTGGTGCAGGCGATCTGGTTTCGTTTCTTCTGGCAGTCTTACTTGGTTTATCCAACCTTCATCAGTAGTTTTAGGTCTGTTTGGTTTCATTCAGCTATTCAAATTGTTAGAGGTCTCCGCATGATCATCACTGTCTACCTGTTTCATGGCGTCTTCAATCTCCTTGCCGGGATTTCTGAGTTTTACTAATCCGGATGTATCATTCGGTTTCTTGTACCTCATCCTAAGATCGCATAAAATTGATCCACAGTCATATCGCTTGTTTTCAAATATTTCATACACTGCTTTAGTCATTGTTATGTCGTTTTCTCATCTGCGGCTTGTTGAAACATGGAGAAATTTCAAGTTTCTTAATATTCAATATATCATTTCGCTTTTAATTTCTTTTTACATCATTTCGTTTTGGCAATATCAGGTTCCGTGTCTCTTCGATTATTTTTGACGAAGTCCTTCAGTGATTGCACTAAAAAGTCTGTAAGAGAAACATAATCAAAAACATACAATAAGCCCAAGACATAGCAGAAAGCTTACCGAGGCTGTTGTAAGTACTGCAGCGCTATTTGAGATAAATCACCTTCACTGGACGCAGATATAGCAATGTCATAATCCATGAATGTCATTGTTGATATTTCACTTTTACATTATTTTTTTCCTACGAGTTCTTTTTCTATTTCAAACCAGTGCATGTAGAATATCTTCGTACAGTAAAACTCTTTGGAATTCGTCATTCTTCTCTTTTTGCCTTCCATCCTCTTTGTTTTCTTTCTTAAATATTTTTCAAATCCTTGTACACCAGAAAATTTCAGGGATATTCGATGTCCTTGCTTCTTCATTGGTAGAATCTTTTTAGTTGACGTAACCAAAGATAAAGGTTATCTTTTAACTTTATTTAAACGTGGAAATGATAGTCGACATATCAAACATTTTTTTCGCCTTTAGAGTCTCAAAATATCTTCGTGAAAAAATGTATGGATATCTCACAAAACGGATCATTAGTCGAGAGTTCGGAGTTATGCTCTTCCCAAGGAAGAGACTGATGTTTTTATAGTCCATTGTACACTACATCATATGTTGACTGGTGCATCTTCCTACAGGTTATACTTGGAGGGGGCATTAGGCATTTTATACCATTCACTGAAAAGGATGCAGATGGTATGAATGGCTTCAGAACCGATTCGAGAAATCTTATCAATGAGTGGAAAGACGATAAAACAACTAGAAATGCCAAGTGGAAGACTGCATTTGACAAGAAGAACCTCCGGGACCTCAAAGCTGAAGAAGTAGACTATTTTTTAGGTTTGTAGGTTTTTTTTAAATTATTATTAAATTTTAAGTTAACTAGTCTTTTCATCTTTTCATTTTTGCTGTTATTACATTACATTACGCTATGTTGCCAGGGTATGAAATTTTTGTTAATGATATTGCATGTTCATCTCATCTTTATCTCTCAGAATTCATCATCTTCATCACCTTTTCTTTTATTGTTTTGTTTCTTCCGTGACAGAAAATACTGCCATGAGAACTTTTAGTAAACTGCTCTAAATAGATGCATAAAATAACAGAGGAATCACTAGTAATTAACTGATGCTATTCCTACCCAACAACTGAGTTGATCTGTAGGGAAAGATGAGTGCATAGCACAGCGTTTGGGATTTCTGTAAGTATAATCGCACTGGAAACACTAAAATATTTTTTATCTGTACGACAACAATTGTCGTGGACAGTTCTGAACACAGAAAAAAATTCAATAACCGAACATAGCAATGGATTACTTAGCAAGATTGCAGAATCTTCAGTATTTTTCTTGTAGTGAAAAACATTATTATTTCCCAATAATATGGATTCCGACAAAACGGGGGTAGCTAGAGGGGGAAAGGGGGGACATCTGTTCCCGGGCGCAGAATCCAAGGGGCGCCAAATTGATGTTACGACATTTTTAGAATTAAATGTTTTCCATCCTTGGCAAGCAGTAGGAGGTGCGAAATCTTCAGTTGCTCCTGGGAGCTGAAAACCCTAGCTACGACTCTGCGACAAAAATAGTCCATAGTTCATCAACTATACCGGCTCACTAAGAGGATTTCTCAAGGACTTCAAGAAAAATTGACTACTGGTGTATTATCCCCGAACATTTGTTTTTGAATGCGTTTATTCCTATGCAAACTCATAACTCTATTTTTCCCAAATTACATCAGAAAATTCTTTAATTCCTATCAGACTGATAGATCGTTTGTTGTTTACGTCAAAAGCAATTCCTCACTCGTCGGAAAATTCAAGCTCGGTGTCCCAGAAGCATTGCTTTCAGGCTCGATTTTATTTAACTTTTCTGCGAATGACATATGTCACACTCCCAAGAACCAGCGATTCTTACACAAAACGCTTTCTAATTCAATCTCACAAGCACATCAAACTCTCATACATGACCTAGAGACCTGGCTCAAATGTGGAAAACTAATGTTAACATAAGTAAATCTAAAGCCAAACAAGATGGCGCGTCAAATAAACATCACAGCAATAATTCATGAGCATGGCTCAGTTATCTCATCCGCTAAATCACTCGTAAACCTTATTGTTATTCTCAATCAAAGACTTAAATATAAGCCCCATATTGCATTAAAGATCTCCAAATTTCGAGTGAATAATTTCATCCCTTAATAGCTAAAACTTCCTTTAACTCTCTGATAATGAGTAATTATAGGACCATGTTGTGCCTCGTACTAAATTACATCTGTTAGTTCTTCAACAACTTGCTCAATCTTCGTGATAATAAGATTGAGGAAATGCAGACAAGAGTATTGTTGATTAATTATAGCGTATTCAAAACATAATTTTCAGACAAATCACAGATAGTAGTTCTTTGGCAGGAGTCTGTACCTACACAAAGAATTAAGGATGAAGCACATTCAAAGCTTCATAACCTAAACTGCTGATAAATATTTCCGAAACATCGGAAAAGTAATTCATTTTTACAGTTCCAAACTTAAAGGTGGAAAACAATCTTAATTTAATAGCAGAGGTGTTTAAAAATTCCCCAGTTTGCTTGGATATTATAGGTTTTGCTTCCTCCAATTTTAATGTAATTTCATTACTTTATTATTATTATTACTTAAATTAATAATTCCTCTTAAGCATTTTAACTCTCTTAATCATCTTTCACAAAAATTAGGATTTTCCTTTCAAATACCCTGCATAGCCATGAATATCTGTTCTATTCCCTCGTTTCACATTCTATTCATTTTACGCTTGCGGGTATTGAGCTTGCATTGTTTACTCAAAGGAAATCCGAAATCCCTAATTCCGAAAAATTTCACCTTAAAAAAAAAATCAATCTCCAATGTTACCACCAGTTCTCAGTCATGTTTAGTTTGCTGTCTTCCCGACAATTAGGTGAAACTATAATATAGTACATGTTATCAATGAATTATACTATTTAAAAAAATAAAATAAAATCGCTTAAATTCTTAGTTCTACTTTAAGAAATGAATTAGATATGGAAAATGTTCAGAATATAACTGGTTTCACTATGACACCTTTTAGTAAAAGTATATAAAACTTTTATTTTTGTATAGGCGCTATGCGAAGTTCTAATTAGCAACTTATTCCTTAACTTACTGAAGAACAATTTTAAAAAGTATCATAATGTGCAAAATTTGCCTTGAAAAATGATACTCAAAATTGTATGATTAATTCTAATTTCATCTGAAAAAAGGAAATTACAATTTACTAATTTCATACTGTGTATGAAATATAAATTATGTTAAATGTTCAAAAGAAGAATTAAATCTTAAAATTTCTGCAAAGGAGAGTTTGAAATCCATGCTTTTTTCTGCAATCACTTTTTTTTTTTTTTTTTTCTAATGAAAAGATGACTCTTGAGTTAACTTGAAAACCTGCATTTGGAAACTTACGAACGTATCTATCTTCATCACGGTTTTATATTATCCTTCAAACTTTAATTATATAAGGAAGTATCGCTTTCTCTCGTATGTGCTGTCACGGTGTAATTAGCAGCACTTCCAGCTATAATTTTAAGACCCTTGATTCTAATTACGGCTAGGGCACAGCTGATTTTCCGCGTTTCCGGCTTTGAAGAAAATGTAATGATAATCTCAATATATTTTTGCTATAAAAAATGTTTACCCGGGTGCCGTTAACTAATTTGACTGTGATTTTTTTTATTATTTTTATTTTTATGGCATATTTCTTTTTTTTTTTTTATGTTAAAATTTAAGATATTTATATATGTCACAGATCAAAACTGTTGTATTATAATCTATTCATTTCTAAACAGCAATCATCTATTCTTTATAAATATTTATTTAATTTAAAAAATCCTATATGAACGCGTGTATTTAGCGTAAAATTTTATCTTTAGTCTATGTTAGAGGCCTTTTTATGTTTTGTTTGACATGATTTGATAAGTAATATTTTTACAAGCCTAGATGTGCTAAAAAGGATTTTCATACATGAGCTGAAAATAACTGCTTGTTTGTTTTACGCCATATCGGTTTACAAAAATATACAGAAGACTGCTGTAACTTTAGATACTGGGAGAAACCTTTATGACTATCCAATTTTTCATAACCTCGAATCTACGCTTAAAAGTAGGATCTGTTTAGCGCCTCGACTGATTATAAATGAGTGCCTTATGTAAGTTTACTTCACCTTTAAGTGTGCTTTAGATGTGTACTTTTCGAACACAAACTTCAAGTTCAAGAACGATAACGTCGATTATATGCAAATAAAATCGTCTCTCCTTAACTGTCCTACACTCGTATCTTATCTCAAAACTTATCTTCTTCGTTTGCATTAATAATACATACGCAGCAGTTGGTCTGTTTGTAAACATATCTTAATGTAAATCTGTCATTCATGGTAGTTCCAAGTTAGTTGCAGCCTGCAAATTAACCAATCATCTGGAATAGTATCTAACCACCAACCCAATATGGCTGCAGAATCATCTGGAGTAGTATTGTAGCCATCATTTTCTTCATGATGCTTCCCCCCCCAAATAGGGTACATTTATTCCTCCTTATTGAATGACTACTACTATATTTCTAATTAGTAACTAAAGCTGCCGCATACACATCTGTTTTCATTTATTAATCCTTATGATTTTCATTATGCCTCGATTAATAAAGCTTGTTCGTTTTTCTGTTTTTATTCAATTATGTTTCTGAATATTTTGCGAAAATTTTAAATTGATTCAGGTTTCTGAGTTGCAGCCAACTGAGTGATTTTGGTTTTAATTTTCAGGACTTTTTCATTCTGATCACCTCCCCTATGTTGCCGACAGACCTGCACTCAACAAAGAGTATCCGTCATTAGCAGAAATGACAGAAGCTGCCATCAAAGTACTCAGCAGGAGTCCTAATGGTTTCTTTCTTCTAGTAGAAGGTAAAAAACGGGAGACTTCTGTCTTGATACTGCTTAAGTGTTGGAATAGTTGCAAAAAATCTAATAAGACAATGCACTTTGAGTATTAAGATAGCTACGTCAGTCTGGGTGACAAAACGAAAGGATGTGTTAATTTTTTTCCAAAATAAAATGTTGATCTGGTAGATCAATGGTTAGACTTTTTCTACCTCTTACATTAAATGCTAAATTTTAATTACCTTAAAGGCATAATTATCTTATATTAGAAAAGGCGAGGAAAAAATGTGTGTTGCGTGGGCACACTCAGCTGGTCAATGTTTACATTTACACAGAGTTAAGTGTCGCCATTTATATATATATATGTTCGCTATACTATTTACATTTGGAATAAAATTTTTACTGCTTAGAATTATAAAAAAAGTTCAAAAACTTTTCATTATTTTATTTCTATTTATTTATTTATTTATTTGTTTGTTTTTTGTTTTTTCGGCATGTTTACTCACAAAGTTTACACGAATTGTTAGCATACAAAAGTACTAACTCATCATTTGAAAGCACTGAAAAATATAGAAATGTTTGATTTAATTATTCTTTGTTTTGAAGCTGAGGATGGCAGCGATTTGTTAAGCAATTTATTGTACCATTATGTTTGAAAAATAACCGAATTAAATGCTATCTCGATAAAAATTATCTACTAATTGTCATACACTGAAAAGATTTTGAATGATACTGGCAGAAGCAATAACATCAGTTGGCAATATTTATTCAAACAATTGAGGAACAGTCAAACATCCTTAGGTCTTTGAAGGGCGGTGGTTACCTATAGTAGCCACCTTTTCTATACGTCTTACTCACTCGTGTGAGTAGTTTTCAAAGACTGACCGTTTCTGAAGTTCTTTTGTAGCTCACTAGATGGCAATCAAGAAACATAAGCCAGTAGTTGATGCAGCAATTCGTCTTCAAGAAAATAAGCATCAGCCATCGAAGACAACATCACGACGATGTGCACTCTGCAGCACCAAAAAAAAGCCTGTAAGAACAGTGTGGGAATGCAGCACATGCAAAGTTGCACTCTGCTTCAAAAAGAAAAACTGTTTCCATGAGTACTATAGAGACTGATTTGTAGAGATGTGCTCTGTGGGCGGTGCTCACTTACACTAACCACCAGAAGCGGTCATTTTTTCCACGATTCTTGGAAAAAATATGTGTAATTATCGCAAATAATTTCATTGTAACACCTGGTATAGTAAATAAACCAATAGTTTTGCTGAAAAAGTTAATTGCCTTTTCCTGCCCCTCAAAGATTTAACCAACCTTCGTCGGCCATTCAAGAACATTTAAAGCAGATTGGAAAAATAACGGCACCATACAGAGCCGTTTTTTGATCGTTTGATTACTGGAGACGAAAATGGGTCCTATATGGTAATCCAAAACGCAAAAGGCAGTTTTAATAAGGGTTACAAAGGGTTTACATCTCCAAAACGCGCTTCTTTGGTGTTTGGTGGAGTATTCGTGGAATTGTTCATTTTGAATTGCTGAAAGCTGGACAAACTGTTAATGCAGACCTTTACTGTGAACAATTGGATCGAGTGAACCAATCTTTAATCGAAAAATATTCAGCGATTTTCAACAGGAAAGGCGTCATTCTGCAACACGATAGTGCAAGACCGCACTGTGCAAGACGAGCACTGGAAAAAATTAATGAATTTGAGGCGGGAGGTACTGCCTCACCCACCATATCGCACCCTCGGATTTCCATTTATTCCGATCCCTACAAGATTTTCCTAGTGGGAAAAAAATTTGAAAATTTGGATGATATCCAAAATGTCATTTCGAGATATTTTACTCAAAAACCAATTGATTTTTGTCTGTCTGGGATTGGAAATCTGCGCACTAGATGGCAAAATGTTGTTGATGACGAGGGTGATTATATTACTGATTAAAAAAAAAATTGTTAAAAATTTATTCGTTTGAGTTTAATGTACGAAAGCGACATGTTCCCCCTATTATATTTTGCAATTAATAAAAGAAGTTAAAGCCATGTATTATGAATTTGAAATAGAATTGTTTCGTTTTTATCTGATTATTAGATGTTGATAATGTTCTTTGTTTTTTTTGCCAGAATCATATTATGTGCTGAGAATCAATCCGTCGAGTACATACATATGCACCAATCACATCGTATGCTAACAGTACCTCTCTCCTGTGCCAAAAGCGATTTTGTTTTTAAATTTGTTTTAAATTTGCCATCAAGTGAACTGTAACCTTTATATGTGAATTAAACTACTAGTAATCATCATATTTTTGTAAACAGTCTGGTGAACTTTTAGACCTTTATATAATAAACAAGTCTGTATTATAAATTATGTTCCCGCTGTCAAATCCCCCCTTTATATTTGACCCTCCCCCAATCCAGACGTACGTCATTTGATTGTCAACTGCTTGAAGATGTAATCCGTAGCTATTGTTAGGTAATACCGTAGACAGGAATCAAGCTGAAAAGTATCGATATATGGATCAGCTGTTCTATCGACGGAAAAATGCAAGTGTCACACTGTTTGTACCTTTAATCTCATCGATAGATAAACGCGAATCAATCCTTTGTCACAGAAAGTTTCTTAATGAGACAGGTCCACAAAATATAGTCCGAGTTAATGAAGTGAAATAACTGTGTCAGCCATATATGATGAAAACTTTGCAGTCGTTTCAAAGTTCCCCTTTTTTCCTTCCTTTTTCTTAAACTTATCCGCTATGCCATTCCACTTTTCCTACTTGTTCCACTATCTGTGTGAAAGCAGTACACCGGGTTATCGAAAATATGAATTGCTAAATCCATACATGTAGGAAGTTTGGAAAATTCTGAGTCTGGGAAGTCGATCAGCTAAATTTCCTGAAGTTATCAACGGTTTTTGTCTATTTATATTAGTTTGGTTTACTTGATTATAAAGTGAAACATTTTAAGGCTAGCTGCTTTTCGGGGAGGTTTATCTCCCCGAAGAGAAAGGATGACGTTCGGGAAGTCTATCTAAGGGAAACTGACTCGTATCCACGTTACATATCCATTTACTTTGAAACTTTACCAGAAACGGTTTTCTATTTTACATCAATCGCCTTGAATTATTCGTATGTAAATGATGCTTTTATTTTCTCGCTCTTTTCGCCTTCCATAAAATGAAAAATAAAATAATGATTTAATAACTGTTTTTCTGTTTCCAGGTGGCAGCATCGATTTGGCTCATCACATGAATTTTGCATTGAAGGCCTTGGAAGAAGGTTATGAATTCGATAAGGCCATCCAAACTGCTCTTCGTTTAACAAACCAGGAAGATACATTGATTGTTGTCACCGCCGATCACTCACACACTTTCACAGTTGGAGGAGATTATCCTATGCGAGGGAACAATATCCTAGGTTAGTCTTTATAAAGTGAATTTTAGGTTAAAGTAATTAAAACTATAGAGGGTGTTGATACATTTTTAGAGAGGTTTCGGGGCCGTTTAATTAATGTTTCACTGCTTTCGATTCCATTTGAACGATGTTTTGCGTTACATCTGTATAAACGGAGAGAATAAAGGACCCTTTTTCCCAAAACGTATTATGAAATGGATTTAAAAAGGATTCAGAAGAAATTTTTGCTTGATGTCTGTACGTACAGACGTACGTATGTGTATCTCGCATAACTCAAAACCCAGTAGTCTCAGAACGTTGAAATTTTGTACATTTAACTGATTTAACTGCTGTACCATGTGGATGTGCGCCTCCTTTTATTTATATATATATATATATATATACCCACTCTATTACCTAGCTCGGTAAGCTAGGTTTTTTTTATTCTTATATGATGGTTAATTGTGCATTTTTTGCTTTAAAATTGATTGAATTATATTGTTTTTATGTTCCGGTTAAGGTTTATATGCCTTTAGTTGATCTCCATGCAATATTTGTAGAATTTTCAACAATTTAAAAGTTTTTAAAGTTCCACTAAGCCTAAAGCCACCGCCATTTGTTTACATTTGAAACTTAGTAGCACAGTGAATTAAGTCTGATTTTGCACCAACTACAGTGTTCCTTTTTGCTTAGTGGGGCAAAAGTTTTGTGCACCAAAAAAATCTGACTTTCTTGATAGGTCGTGCAAGGAAGTCATGTGGTATCCATATCAGATTTTTTTCTGTTACAGTCATTTGAATAAACCACATGCTTCATCAAGGGTCACAATATGTATCCATTTAAATTTCCTGCTAAATGATTTTCCTTCGGGGTTCTACTAATCGTTTTGCGTTAAGCCAAATGCTGGGCAAAAGCTGGTGCACATTATGTTGACTTAAGAAATATTAGAAACGATACATACCTTATTTCGCCTATTTCCCTGTCCACTGACCTTTTTGGGGTATTTTGAAGTCTTCTCTCCATACAGAATTAATGACTGCCATTTTTTTTCCTTTTCTGATAAATAATGTTGCTTATTTTGCTAGCAGAAGTTTTAATACCGTGCATTTCACAACGTTTTTGAATTATGGACTAGGAATATTTCTCTTCGAAAAGTAAAAAAATTTATCCTTCACTCCACAGCTTGCCTACATGTGACGTTTGGAAAGAAGAATAAATGTACAAGTAGCAAACGATATTTCTCATTTTAAACAATTAACTGCTACCAAAAAATTTTATTCCAAAGTGTTTGCTTTTTTTTTTTTTTTTTTTTTTTTTTTTTTTAGACGGATAAATGTCGGTTCACTTTTCAAACTGTTGCCATAAAATGTTAGAGTTCTGTATTATATTTGAAGAAATTAAATAATGAAAATCTGCGTAAATGTATGTATATTTCTCACATTGTCATAAAATAACGGTACATAGAGCCATCGAATTTTGAATAACGTAATCCTCCAACGAATATGAGCATGTGGAAGACCAAATTTGAAATTTGAAATTTCGATTTCCTATTTTTTAAAACTTTGACGAATTTTTGATTAACAAACTCAAGGATTTCAAAGCGAGAAATGGCAACGTTGTGCAGAAAAAAGATTATTATCTCCAGCGCGTGAGTCTCTGTATCGGAAATTCTAAAGATATGCTCGTTTTAAAACTATTTTGCGATATTGCTGTTGCACTGGATCTTATGGTTTAAGTGCGAGGAACATGATATTTAATAAAGAAAGGTAACACACAAATGTTAAAAAACGCCCCTTTGGACGTAATTTAAAATCTGAAACATTTCAGATTTTTTTTTCTTTTTCTTTTCTTTTTTTTTTTTTTTTTTTTTTTTCTTTCTTTTACAGGATTTTAAGCTCGATGTTTAAAATCCATCTTAGAATATCTTGCGTTTTTTTGGAAATTACGACTCTGTAGTATCGTGTAATTCTGACAATTATTATAGCTAAAAATATCAGTAACTGTTAACATGTAAAATGCAGCATCAGACCTTAACAACCTTGTCCCAAGAAAGTAGGCTTGGCGTTTGCCGTGTTAATGATTAACATTGCGCTCAAGGTTTTTTACATTTTTCCTATAAATTAACTTTTTTAAAAAATAAAACAAAGAGAAGGAAACAAAGTTAATTTTTTAACATAATTTTCTATTTCAACAGAGAATTTGTTCCTTGAACCTTTATAGGTGGAACGAAATAAATGTGTGTTCAAAATAGCGCTAAGTTTAATACTGATAATTTTAAAATTATTACCGTAATGCTCCGAATATAAGATGGCTTCCTTTATAAGATGACGGTACATTATTTATAAGAAAAAAGGTGTTTATATAAGAAGGCTTCACATATCCTAGCTCATGTTGAAAGTATGCTTTTAAGTTTCTTAACTTAAATGCCTAACTACCCTAACTGGAGGTAAAATTAAGTAAGTATATTTTTCAAAAGAAAGATAAGAAAAAAATATAATAAATAAGTGTTATACTATTTAATACACTTTAAAAACTTTAGTCTTACGTATAAATCTCTTATGGTTTTCAGGAAAGCATTTTAACATCGAATGAAGAAAGATAGAATACCTTGTCTATTATTTAGGCCAATGCATATTATTTTAACTGTTTCATTGATTTTTAAATTTTTAAATTACAGAAAACCGTTAAAGGAATATTATAAATATATAACGAAAGATGTTTATGTTTTATGCACATGTATCTTATTCATATTTTGAAAATATACAACTATTTTTCAGGCATCGGTGGTGTGTCTGATGTCGATAATAAGACGTTTACGACGCTTGGCTATCACAACGGCCCAGGTTACAAACCTGATGCTCGAAGTCGGAATTTAACAGAGGAAGAAGCAAGTGAGTAATTTTCTTTCTGTATTTGTAATTTTTCTGAGAGGGGGAAAAAAATTTCAGAGTGTCATGAAGCCGAACTAAGAAGAACTTGCTAATATTGCTAAGAAGTTTTGCTTTAAAAATCGCTGAATTTCTTGCAATAGCTTTTGCTGTGTGTGTTTGCTGTGTGTCACACAATAGCTCTATTTGTGTGTTCGATAGAACGACGGTCAGAGCAATCCTCATTGGCATTCTGTCAAAACGCTTAGACCCGGAAAATAGGAGTATCTAATAGAAATTGATGCGTTTGTCTGAAGGAATTCAAGAACGCGCTTCTAATCATTTTTGTATTATTGAGATCTTTTATGTAATTATCGTGTAAAATTTCTGTAATTAACTTGTAAAAAGTTAAAGAGGGGTATAAAACACTTTGCCTCATAGGTATCAGCTGTTTATCCTAAGTAAATATATCGTTCTATATTACGTATTTGTTGATGGTCATGAGTACTCAATTGTTCAATTGTTCGGGCAGTTGCGCATTTCAGTACAGCGTCCCGCTTGAAAGTATACGCCGAGAAATATCCTGTATTCCGTAAACATTCCCAGATTTTGAAAATATAGTTGATATGGATTTTATTGCTCCTCCATATGATCATGAAAATTTTTTTGAGGGATCAAAAGTGTTTTCAATAACCAAATGATTTGTTTTCTAGACATAGCACAATGCTCAAAACTTCATCATAATCTGATCTCGAGAAATCCATACAAAATTTGGTTTTTCTGGATTTCCATTTCAGCTGCCATTTGTGCTTGACAGCGGCCGAGCGGTAAAGTCGCTGAATACTTCTAGCTTGGTCCGAGGTTAGAATCCCGCGAACGGGCTGGCAGTATGGGCGTTTTCATGGTTTTCCCCAAGTTTAACTTGTATGCGAGGTCAGTTCCCTTGCAAAGACTTTCACGAAGACTTTCACTTTCAGTTCCCTTGCAAAGACTTTCACTTTTCATCTCTCCCCTTTGGCAAATAGCCATCGAGTGCTTTGCCGTAATCAAATAAAACAAACCTTTTGTGCTTGGAAAATAGGCAATGACATTAAATCATCTGAAGAATTTTACACGGATTACCTTTTCAGAAATATCACAGAATATAATTATATTGTTTAACTTCCACACATATTTATATTTATTCTTATTATAACTTCCAGAATATAATATTTAACTTCCAGAAGAAATCATTTCGAGGAAGCACAATTATTTGATAACAAATCATTAATGAAATGCTGTACTTCACAAGCTAAGATATTCGCAGAAATTAAAACTAAATTTGAACGAAATGGAATGAGATTTTCCTTATAAATCAGTATAATTATGTTTCTTTCAAACCTGTAATTATTAAGTGAATTGCGGTTTTTGGAAACAATGGCAGCAGCATAGTATATATTTCGATAATTTTTTTATTGCAGTGGAAAAATTATTATCACAAACCATCAGAATAAAAGAAAATTTCTAGGAAAAATGCAAAAAGAGAAAAAATTGCTATGGTTAACAGCAGTAGTAACAAATAATGTCACGTATTTAGGTATTGCTTTATCCAAAACAGTACGTATTTCAATTGGGAATTATCTGGAATACATAAATTTTGTTAAATCCTCTGTTAAAAATAACCTGTAATGTGAACATAAATAATGTGTAACGTGAATAAACTAAAATAATGTGTAACATGAATACAAACAAGCTCCCCTTAAAAAATCCTCCACAATGACATCCCTCGCCTTAGGCAGCTAGCGCTCAAGTTCTTTGCTTTTATCTAAAATAACCCAATCCATTAAAAATGAATTGCTAAGCGGGAAAAATAAATTAAGTGTACTACCATTTCTCTTTTGTTCCCGTTCACTCCTATCGAATTACAAGAGCAATATAAATAAAGGCATTGCTTTTTCTGTTTTGAAGTGGTCTTCCTGTATAGGGGCGTAATTTGCATAATCAAATAAAATTATTCTCCAAATTAAACAGTTTAAAATGCAAGTAAATTGTTAATTACATTTTTCTATTTATTATAATGCAAATGCTTTCTGTTTCCTGTTTTCTTTTTAATTGCTGTCTAGTTAACTGTGACAGTATGTTAACCGTCGACGTCGTCTAGAATACATGAGGCATTTACTGTACAATGATAATTCCTATGGTTCCAGTGTAACAATATTTTTGAGAATAATTATAAACATCAATATTTAACATCATTAATAGTCACCTATTCTCTAAAATCGAAATAAGCGTATTAAATGTTCGAAGTAAGAAAACTATGATTCGAACTATTTTTTTCCCAGTCGTCGAAGATGTTTTTCCTCTTTCTAGCTTAAAGAAAATCTTTTCAAAATATGAAATGCCAAGTGATATTTTATATTAATTTCATAATATGTAATGTTATATATTATCTATCTATTGTTTGCTTCTCCATCCAGATAAAAGCGCTTTTTCAGTTACTGTAAGATAAGTGCTTCAGATGCTGTAAATAATAAAAATTTCGTTAACCAAACTAAGTGGAGGGGAAATAAACAAGAGCGGAAGGAGCTATCGCAAATTCGATTTTCGGATTTTTGTGACTCTGCTTTGTTGTTGTATATCGATAACTTAAAAAAAATTAATAATCATAATTTTAGAATTCCTGCAGAAAAAACGCTGAAGAAAATGATTTAATAACACACTAAGAAAATCAAAAGATAAACAAATGGTAACCGTATTAAATTCAACATCTTAGCCGCGTCGTAAATTCATAATTATTGAATTTAATGTTATACTCCGTCGTATAAAAGCAAGGAAGTTTCATGTCTGCCACCTTTCATAAAATGTTATAAAGATGCCGGTACCTTTATGTGTGTGCGCAGCTGCCCATCAAGTTCAAGATCTCTACATGGATGACTCTGGTAACCCTGATACAGGTTGCTTTCTTCATGAAACCGAGCTTCATAAATGTACCTACTCATTTGTGCCTTGATGACAGGGTACCTTTCTGCCTTGGCAAGCAATAGTCAATTCAAAAAACTGGGTGCCGGCACATTTGTGCAAGCTGATGACTGCTAAGACATTCATACGGGTGTCCCGGCAGCCTAGACGAGGGTTGTTTTCCTTGCTATACAGAAATTCATAATGGTGCTGCCACCTTTATGTTATGATAATCTTGCGCTTTGTCAAATGATAGGTGACCCCTGAAAAGGTACCGACACTTTTTTAAGTCGCCTGCGCTGATTAGACCAACCTCATCCACTCCTGACGATAAACAAATTGTTTGCTTTTTAAACGAAGTCATTATTTCAGAATGTATAGATACGGAAGCTAGAGTTAAGCTTAAACAGAAAAATACGTGAATTTTAGAAAGGGGAGACTAAAGAATATGTTACATATCTCTAGTGTAAGATGACAGTAATGATTCTTCCGCAAGAAATTTTATTCGTTTGGATTAATTTGTCATTTTCTTCGACGAGCAGTTTGACAGAATTTTTGAAAATTCAGTATTCCGAATTTTAGACCGAATTTCTCTTTAAATGGTTTTAAATCTATCTTGTAAATTTCATCCTGATTTCATAATTAAAACATACGTAATATTTTCTGAGTAGATTTCTGTAATTATGGAACTACTAAATAGCAGACTTTAAACGCAAGGCGTTATAAATACTTCTCATATCCTCAATTTATACAAATTCTTCGAATCAGATGGAAGACATTTCATGAAAGCTTTGGTTTGCGTGGGTGTCTAATAATACACATTAAAAAACATTACTTTGAATTTGAATTGAAAGATGTTCGATTTAGAAACAAATCTAAAAGAGCCTTTTTCAGGCCATTAATTACCTTTCAAATAAGAGGCTGAGAAACAGTTTCGTATTTTAAAGTTGTTTTATAATTTCAAAAATTTATGAATTTTTAATTTATTTCTTGAAATTTAAAAACAAAAATTAATATCTTTAAGTTTAAAAGTCTGATTTGAAATAAAAGACTTTTATTATAACGGAAATTCAACACTTAGGGATTTTGCCATTTAATTAGAGAATTAGGAAAACGTTGTGTTGAGTGAGCTCTCATTAATCAAAATTTCGAACTAGTTTTTCTTAAATAACGTCCATGTAGAGAACCTTATCTATACAGAGAAACTGTAATTGCGCTTTTGTCTTAATAATCTAGTGCGCTCAAATTCCCTTATTTCCGGCGCCCTAAGATAAACGAAACCAAGCGTGTGAGACTTCATTTGCTTTGGTTTCCGGCCTACACTGGGCTTCCCGATATAACTAACCATTTATTTAAAAATTCTGTTTTGGTAAATAAAGTCATTCATTTCCGTTATCCGTCTCGGGAAGGAGGGGGCGATAGAAGAATTTTTATGAACTGGGCCCCATATGGAGTTTGCCACTCTGTTCAATCTTGGTATAAATTCTATAATCTTAGTATATTAGTTACACAAAGTATTACAGCTATCTGCCTAAGGAGAAGGCTACCTTCGTGGCTGCCTTACTAAAATTAATTGATATTCACGTTACATGCGGGATAAACTACAAAAAGTCCATGCAGCCAGTCTCTTTGCTGGGATATAAATCCGTGATAAATTAACAATGTTTAGCTGCCCTATCTAGTTGTCTTCTAATGAGTAATATCGGTATCAGGCAATTAACGGCCCGGTGCAACTTAAATTTACCGTCAGTGTCTTTCCTAAATTCTTCCATCCAGTGCCTTACGAAATTCTTCCATCCAGTGCCTTACGAAATTCTTCCATCCAGTGCCTTACGAAATTCTAACAATTTTTGCTACCCCTAAATTTCCGAATAACTTTGTTTCATTGCGAAAAAGGAGTTCCTCATTTATATAATTGTATAATTAAGGTTTTTACTATCTAATGTTAGGATTTAAAAGTAAATGAACATAATGCGTGCATATCAAATCTTCGGGTAACATTTTAAAGCTTCCAGATGAATTAATTTCTTTCAAAACCCTAAAGAAAAATATCTTAATTTGAACCTTATATATATAGATATATTTCATTGCGCGTTTTCTTTTTTCAGTAACTTTTTAAAGCTTCCAGATGAATTCATTTCTTTCAAAACCCTTAAGAAAAATATCTTAATTTGAAACTTATATGTATAGATATATTTCATTGCACGTTTTCTTTTTTCAGTCAAGAAAGATTTCCAGCAAGATTCTGCCTTTCCAATGCAATACGAAACTCATGGAGCAGAAGACGTAGCCGTGTACGCCAAGGGACCCATGGCCCATCTCTTTCATGGCGTTCATGAGCAATCCTATATACCCTACGTAATGGGGTATGCCTCTTGTATTGGACCAAATCAGGATTTGTGTAGCAGTGCGTGGTCTTATTTAATAACCGACCAGTGGACAGCTTTCCTAAGATTCGCTACCGTGGGACTAACCACCTATGTCTTCAATCTTCAATCCTTGCATTGATGTATTTGAGTGGCTATGTTTCTTAAAATGTCTTTTTACGTCACTTTTGCAACACTCAGTCATTTACATTAGTAGTATTTCAGTCTATAAGCACCTTTTCCACTTAAAGTTGAATCATCTTTTCCATCAGCATTCATCTCCTCCATTTTAGACTATGGCACATTTACAAAGGCAGCAGCTGTTTCCTTTTTTTTTTTTTTTTTTCTTTTTCCCCCCACTGTAACTGAAAAACAAAGTTTTTGATACTTTGCCTAGTTCTTGTTTTCTAAACTAATAATATTCTGCTCCTTTTTGAAGAAAACTTTATTTCATTAATGATAATAATACTGTGCTGAGTTATCCTGAAACCTGAGAAATGCAGTACATATATTTTATGTATTTGTTTCATGATTGGCATGACATTGTTTCTATCGCCTCATTAACACTTTGTAATTGTGTTTGCTTACAAGATGTAATTAAAATGATTTGACTTGAAAAAAGTCCTTTTTAATTTATCAGTACTCTAGTATATTGGCATTTTTGTGGCTTTAATACAATGCCAGATGAATAAAATTAATTATATTAATTCACAGCTAGTGGCTAAAATATTTTCTCACTTCTTCATAAATCTGGTTCTTCAAAAAATTAGATTTTAGGAATCTGTGAATCTTCTTCTGTTCCTTGAAATCTGCACCCACATATCCGTACATATATAATATATATTTATGTATAGGTATATACAGGGAGAGAGAGAGAGAGATGTGTGTATATATATATATATATATATATTCGAGAAAACAAATGGTTAGGGACTTTCATAGGAAAGAAATTGTAAACTTTCATTTAAGCTGCAACTTTTCCTATTCTTTTATAGATATGTATATATATTTTGTCTATATACACACATACACCCCACACACATACATATACAAATACATATTATACAAAACTCTATAATGTTTACAAATTCAGAATTTTTCTCTGCTTTTTTTTTAAATGATTGATACGAATATCTGGAAATTTTTATGCTTACAACATAAAAGTGTATCAAGGCTCCTATTTCAAATAAAAAATAGAATTTTTAAATGTCTATAAAAACATTTATGACACGTAAAAACATAAATAACATACAGCAACATTATTTTGTATCAATTAACATGTAAGCTATGCCAAATTTGCAAACATTTAATGTTTTCTAATGTCTCTGAACTTTTGGTATTATATAATGCATTACATACAGGAGTATTTATATAATGCAGTATGCATTGTATAAAGAGTTATCTTGAATGTCTTAAATTAAAGATTTTGCGTTGGAGCTTTTATATTTTGGCTTTTTGGTTGAAGTAAATGAGAAATAATTCCTTTTGATGATAGTATAAGCAATACTGATCACCAACAAAGCTCATATTATATTCCTTGAATCCTCAAGGTATGAATTAAGAAGGTCGCTCACTAGAGATTTGTAGCGAATATTTAAAATCCTAAAGAATTTTTATGGACAGTATACATCAATTTCATGTAAGAGAAAATATTTCTGAAGTGCAAATGAAGAGTTTTTATTATTTAAAGTAACTTAAAATAATTTGTAATTACATGTTGCAATATGCATTTCATTTTATCTAATAAATCATTCTGTTGTAAAATACTTTTTGTGTTTAAATAAACTGATTTTTAATTGGATTGTATTTGTGCTTTTATTCCAGTGATACATGCTTTTGAATTATAGAGTTTTACTTCAGCTGCTAATAGGAGACAAATTTTTCAACATAAATGTTTAAATGCAACTAAGAGTTAAACATTTACTGCAATCAGTCTTATTTATTTAAGCGTCAGCCTCAATATCCGAATTGCATGGGACTGGACGGGGAGGGTAATAAGTTTTAACATTCATTTTATAAGATCAGTTATGTAAAATGAACAAACTGGAATAGAGTTCGGTTTGAATTTAAAGACTTGGAGAGGTATTCTCTTTTCCGTAAGACACATTTTTATTTGGATTCCACCCGACAGATGGCACTTATATTATTGCAGTATGGAATAAAATGGGAAAATTTAACATTATGCGCGTTTATTCGTTTGCATTAGCAGGCATGTTATTATAATACTGTTAAAAATGGTTCATCATGATTTCTCAGTAGCATATCTTCTTATAAAGATTTTTTTTTTCATATTTTTGCCATATTATCGATACAGCGCATGCTACCAGTGAAAGTCTGAATTCAAATGTTTCTCACCCTCGTCCTTCCTTTCCTTTCAAAAAAAAAAAAAAAAAAAGTAATGTGGGAAGTCTTCAGGTGCAAATTGCGCTCTAGTATGCCTAATAGTTGATGTTATTTAATTTTTTTTAATGTGTCAAAATCTATGGAACATCCCCTATTAAATATGTTACAGTCTACTGCTTAACGAAACAAACCCTTTTTTTCTTAGTCATGTTTTTTGAGGTCCTCGAGTCTTATTAATTGCATACAGGGTTTATCCAGAAAGTAGCAGTACTGAATTTTTTTTTAAAATTTATTCACAATTTTTCTTGGCTGTAGATATTTGGTCAGAAAGTCCATGACAGCAAAGGTGGTGTGGCTTGGCGCACTGTCGTAATGGAGTCCCCATTATCCAGCGATTGCTGGACGGACGCGGGCGACTCGTTTTCTGAGTCTGAGATGGTCACTGTTCAAAAGAGTTCGCACTTTCGTTAAGTTTTCGTCATTTTTTGCCGTTGAAGGGTGTCCTGACCTTTAGTTAGCTTCAACTTACTCTCTCCCCTCCCAAAACAATTTGAGCCTCTCAAAAATACTTGATCGATCCATGACATCACTCCCCATAATCAATCTTGATCATGTGATGGGTCTCACTCGCAATTTTACCCAGTTTCACGTAAAAATTCACCGCGTAACGATACTTTAACAACCGTTTCATTATGGAGATGACAAGGCATCTTGAAAGAAGTTCACCTTAAACTCCATCTACACTCCGTCAAAGAATATTCTTTGACTCCGTGAATGCTCGGAGACGACTGGCGCGCTAGTAGCTAAGATCCCCCACAGTCCAACCAGCGCAGTAACATCTCCCTCCTTCACCACGTTTGGGCGGGAATCAGCCCTACTACTTCCCAGACAAACCCTGCCCTGCCTCTCTTTGCTTCCCCTGGTGAAAGTGATCAGCCCTTTGATAAACATGAAAATCTTCCTCTGCTAATATATGTGTGCGTATTCTACATTCACATATGTTTCTTCGTTTTTCAGCTTCAGTTTTGTCTTCATCTTGAATGATTACAGTTGCTTCATCAATTGCAGGCTTTATAGATATAGAATAGTTGAAGTGATTACAAGAAGTTATGCAAGTTCTAAAGCCAAAGTTACGAGAGTGATCAGATGATTTCGAAAAATTTCAGTCTACAGATTGCAGCAGCTTGCAGTTTTACACAGTTATTCGAAAACCTTCTTGTAAGGTTCGGCACACCATTTTAATCTAAAGAAAGACGTTGAATAGACGAGTTAGTTACATCTGCCAGACGATATGCCCTGTCATTTTAGAACCAATAAATTGTCATGTGATGTTCCTACTTGACATTAGATACGTAGTAATTTCAGGGCCAATAAATAGCCTGCGACTCGGTAATGTCACCAATTGAGCTCGATTCCTGAGAAAATTTGTCTGATCACCAGCCAGTAATTTCACAGGTCCATTGATACTGGCTTTTGGAAAAGCTAAACGATGAAGGAAAATTAAATCAGTATGATCAGTTCGTTTTACCCCCCCCCCCAAAAAAAAATTAAAGCAGATTGCAGAATTTTGCAACTTGGAAGAACTATGTCCATGGATATAAAATCGGTAACTAGTCATTAGTACGCTAATTGCACTAATTTTCCTTAGTGCGTTTGACGTTTCTTCTTAATAATGGCTATTTACAATATATTTTCAATATATATTATTTCAGTGACTATATTAGTTCCTAAAGTTGCAGTTATTTCTATTTAAAAATTGTCAGCAATTGCCTAACTTTCTTAATGAACGAGATCGGATAGCCCCCCACGCTGATAATCGAGGTTCTACCTACCAATATGGAAAATAATTTGAACTGCGGATTGTTACCAGAATGTAGGATATTATTTGCTAAATTTTTCCATCCTTCCATTTGAAAAACATTTGCTTCTTTACTACTAGGACTTAAACAATTGTAATTTAATTAGATACGGAACATTGTTCTTATAAAAGAACAATTTCGGATCTCAACTTATTTGTTTTATCTTCTTTTGTGTGTACAAAACCATTGTACCTTTTAAAATTAAATCTGGGAGTATTCCCTTTTGCTTTTGCAAATACTATGCCTACTTTTAAATTAAATTATAATTTCATTATACGTTGAAATGAATTCACAGAAAACAGCAAGCATTATTTATTTCCTCGATGCAAAATGTCTCGATAATGAAACATTCGGTTTCATTTGGCATGCTGCCAAAATCTAATTTTTTCTAGAAATTAAATAAAGTTTGTAACTTTGTCTTAATGCATCTCGTATGAAGATTGTCGTGATTTTTGCCGCGCATGTGTGGCTTAAGCTTCAAATGTATGGTAATACTTTTCTCATAAATCTATGTATGGTAAATACTTTACTCATTAGTCCATCGCAGAAGACAGGAATGCTTGTTGGAGCGTCGCTTACTTATGAAACGGTTTTAATTATATTACTATTACTGTCAAATTCTGGGTTTTACTTTGTTATGTTATCAGTTACAAATGATGTGCACTCTCCTTATGTGTTAAGTTGCATATAATAATTCTATCCATATATGAGGTGTAGATATTTTATACAAAACTTGTACGTTAACCGGAATTAAATTTTAAAAAAATTACTTAGGGTTCTTACTTAAAGAGCAAATCCTGTAGAAGTGGTCACCCTGCCTATTTTTTTTTCCTAGTATTGTTATTACTGTATTGTGCGTGTTATTCAATATTATTCAAAATGCATAGTTGGTTAAGCACCACTTATAAAATTAAATTTGAAAAAAATGCCTTTCCCCCCAACAGATGTCCGACCTTTCCTGTAACATTGCTTCACAGGATATCTAAAATTGTAGAAAATACTGAATTACGTAACCTTATGCAACTTAGGCACCAAGTTTCGTCCTACTTTCAGTCTTAATAGACACGTCTGCCTCAAACAATTCAATAATGATCTAGATAAATTTATTATTATTGCTAGTACAAGATCCAATTTACCCACTACAACTTTTCTTGAATGGAAAGCTGCACTTATAAAAGAATTTCAATGTTTGCTTTTCAAGGCGCCTAATTTCAACTCTTTACACAATAAAAAACGCCTGGAGGATCTCATTCAAAAATTGCAACATAACTTTATCATCACGAAGATTGACAAAGCAAGCAACAATTTTAGTATTATTTGACAACACTTCTACTACAACCTTCTGCATAAAGAGTTAAATAACACTTGCACTTACCAAAAAATAACTTCCAGTACTCAGATTCTTCTAAATAAATTTAAAGCACTACATAAAAGACTTAAAATACAACCCCAGAAATATAACAACAGGTTTGCAAATCTCTATGCCTTACCGAAATTTCATAAGTCTCCAATTAAATTCAGGTTCATAGCTAATAGTACTAAAAGTTATCTCAAAGAAATAGATTATCTCTTTGCGCAAAAACTTCGTATGATTCGTGAACTAATCAATAACTATGATTTTAAAGGTTTGCATTGCAACTGGATGATCTCTAGTAATGAACAAGTTATTAAAACTCTGAATTCCCTTCAAATAGAACATATCCAATGCTACGACTTTGAAAACCTTTATACATCTCTACCACTCGAAGAAATTTTTACAAGTTTACTTGCTCTTCCAGATTTATTTCCACAAATTTCTACCATTCTCAGCAACGAAAAATGGCAGCTATTCCTTACCAGCGTTCTCTTCAATAATTTTATTCAGTTTGACAATTACATCTATAAACAAGTTACAGGGAATACCTATGGGCGGGAATTTTTCAACTTCAGTTTGTGAATTATTCCTGTTCACTAAAGAACTAACCTATGTACGTTCACTCAGAACGGAAGAAAGTCTCTTTTTCCAACACATCTATAGATATATTGATGATGTCATAGCATTTAATAACTACAACAAAATAGAAAACGCTAATATCTACCCTGCTTGCTTAAAACTTAATAAAACCAATACAGAACAGCATGATATAGTCTACCTTGATTTACATATTATTGATTACCGTTTTATTAAAGTTTACGATAAAAGAAGAGAATTTAATTTTTCCACACTTAAACTCACTAACTGGAATTCAAATATTTCCAAAAGAGTAATAATCAACACAATTTATTCACAGCTACTTAGAATGAAAAGAATTTGCAATACTGCGGATCACTTACAAGAAGAAATACTATACTTCGTAACTATTTTAAAAAGTAACCAAATACCACATAAAATAATTAAAAATTCCCTGACCAAAGCTGGCATTAACCTTACCTAATTATAGATTTTTTGAGTTAGATAATGATTTTTTATACCTAAAGCTACGGACGGTTTAAGAAGGATGACTAATTCAGAGAATCTATTGTAAAAATGTACAGAAATTCTTGTTTATTCATTCTCTTTCCTCCAAAAAAATTTTGGCACTTTAATCTTAAATACTATTATGTACATATTTTTAAATTT